GTGATCTTGACAGAGAATATAAGGAACGCTCAGGACAGTCAAAGGAAACTAGAGATAATAACGTTTGGAAGACTATTCGATCAAGAGTTCATGTTAACCGCTTAAATAAATGTCAGAAGTATAAGGCGTTGATAGTCCCACTGTTGGCAACGGCAATGGTACAAAAGCCGAGGACCTGGGTATCCTGTGAGCTAAATGAAAGGCAAGAAAAACTTAAAACCACGTATGAAGTCTTATATTTATGACGTTCGTTTCTACGCCCGGTGGTGGCTTAAAGACAAAAATGGATTTGTTACGCTAATTTTGATGTTAGACATATCACAGGGGACGGCTGGCCAACAATCGGCACGGACGCTAAGGCAAAATGCAAAAAAACGTACGGGCATATCTGGTGAAATCAAAAAGGAGTGGTACAGCATGAGCTGCTTTGGTCATCTGGACCTGATACTACTGGGCAATTTCAACAGTATATTAATTCGGCAATGAAGAAGAAAGGGTCAAAATACCACGAAGGACCCGTTTTGACGATTTCGCACATGAAAACGTGGGGCACTATTATAGAAGGAGTTAAGTCAACATTGGAAGCGCCTAGCTGCGAGACCCTATCCCACCCGGCATATCCAAAAAATATTGTTCTATCACAAAATTATCGGTAATTATTTGCTTTTGTCGATGCAACACGACCCAGCTGAACAGCTCCTCAGTGTCTATGAAGTCAAAAATGGTCCAATCGATGGGCAGCTTTAAAAGTTAAACAGTTTGTTTTCTGCGGAAACTATCTGCCACCCGAAAGGTAAGAACAGATTATGCCACCAGGAAGGCGATAATTTAGATAAAATATAATGCATGGTTACTTTTAAATAAGCGTTGTTTTCTTTCATAAATTGGAGCAAAAATAAAGTTCCATCCCCAGATTTTGAAATTTCTTGTGTCGAGTAAAGGCTACTGACAGATAAGATTGGTTAAATGGTTTATATGTTTTCTTCTTGATTCATTCAGCCAATACATGTTATCTACTCGAACCCCAGACGTTTTATTGTACGCACATTCAAAACTTATGCTCTCCATTCATTTATCATTACGATTAATTTTTTTTCTCTTAACGATACAAAAAATTAAAAAAATGCTACGCCTGAATATTTTCATAGACAGCACAATGCCACATTGGTAATGCTTCTTGGCGTTGGTTGCAAGAGTCATTACCAGCATGTTTTGATTAAATTTTCATTGAATGTTTGAAAAATTTTGGAACGAATGAGTCAGAATTAATATATTTCCTCTAACCTGAGAGCATTTCATAGAACCAGTCCGACAACATACTTTCTATTAATGACATAACAAAGAAATTGTCAATAAAAGTGAAAGTGCGAGTTCCAGAAAAAATTATAATAAAATAGGCGCGATCGCTGGAACAAGAGCTTTGTTCGCCTGAGGTTTGGGATTCACAATTGAATTCATCCTCAGAGACGGCATCGAATATGAGCAATTCATACAAAAGTGATTTACTATTTACCTGACACAATCGCTACACTGTCGCGGCTGCCCTATTTATCGAGGACGGTCGCCCTTACTACGACAATTTAGATATGGTCGACATTCGAATCGTTATTCGTTGCAATTTCATCACTCGCGTTGGATGTTGCAGTGATGATTACACCACCGTCAGGTTTGCGACACTGTTATATATGTATATGTTCAAATAATCCGTTAGAATAAAGTTCAAAGAGACCAAAACGGCTATTTGTGGCCAATTCGCTGTCACCAGCTATTCATACTCAGGCCCAAGTTACAAGCAGCTGGGACACAAAACCGGGACCTCTGATCATTGAGTCGAACGACCTTTCATTAATTCTTATGCCCATAGTTAAAAAGTTTAGATCGGAAATATTAACAACAGTAGAATTGGGTTTATTGATGGGGTTACGGGACCTGATTGTTCCGTTGTGCCATGAGAGAAAGCAATATGGTACTCGCCAGCTAAGATCCACGACTAGGCTTCCTGTCCAAGTATTAGAAAAAAAACAACGATGCAGTAGAAACAGATAAACCAGCGAGTGACACCTATAACACAGCGAAATCTACCAAATATTGGACAATTTTTAATTTTCGAAGAAAACGCATAAACAAAATGCATTCTGTCTCAGGACGTACTTCCCGTTCGATGAGACAATTTACGAACAGGTGAAGGACACACCGATGGGTTAGCCGATTTCGGGATTCATCGCCGAGGCGGTCCTGCAACGGTTAGAGTCGCTGGTCTTCCAACATCACAGACCGAAATTCTGGGCCC